ACACACACACACATGCACACACACACACACACACACACACACACACACACACACACACACACACGCATGCACACGTGTGTAGCTCACCTGCAGTCAACTGGTTGACTGGTACAGTACCTGAAGGGAACCATCGTACATCCAGGACACATGCTCATTCTCTCTCTAGTCCTCTAGCCAGCACCACAGTGGCAATGCTTACACATTTCCCTTTCTCTTTTTAGAAGTCAACAAATCGTATCAGTCTTTGTGTTCTTTACGTTGCTTCCCTAGAGCCAGGTTCGTCACAGATACATTGGCCCTCTAGTTCCAGGGAGGTGAAGGCTGAGGAAGAGCTGGAGGAACTGGAACCCGAGGTAAAGCAGTTGGTGCTTTCAGCATTCGAATGCACCCCCTGTGGTTTGTTTGTGTTTGGTTTGTGGAATTTAAATGAACCTCAACTCTGTGAGTATTTGCCTCTTCCTGCACTCTCACCTAACTGTGCAACACCAATATTAACAACTGCAGTTTTTCCAAAATTACCACACTTGTACTGTAATACTGCAAACCCAACTAAATTTTGCATTCCCTAAACAGTATCTGTTTCCTAATACAGCATTGTGAAAAAGGCTCGTTGCACTTCCTTTGATAGCAGCTGATGCAGCTGTTCACAGCAGTCACTGAGTCTGTCACGTGCACCTCTGTAATGGCTTGGCTTGTCCACCAAATTGGGCAAAAGTAGAAGGTAAAGGACAGTCAGGATCACTGGAATGATCATTGGAGCACCATTGTCCACCATCCTTATACAGCTCAAGGGCAGTAAATACACTATGTAACATGTCTTACATACTGCATTTATTATGTCTGCAGAATCCATGGTCTTAACCCTTTCATGTTTGGTCTCGTTCTAAAGGTCTCTGTGCGATTGGTAAAATGGTCTCAGTTTCACAGCAGTCACTTACAGTATGTTGTGAGAAAGATTTAAAATGTTTGTAGAATTCTGTTCTGCTGCTGAGGGGTGTGTCCTCCTCAGGGTCTGTGAGAATGTTTTCCTATCTTTGGTCAGATGTCACCCTTGGTCATGAGATCCTAACAAACCAAAAGGTCTTTTTTATGTTTTAAATTACAGCTGTTTTGAAGATTTCTTTGTTCTGGTCTGGGTATATAAGCGAAATTCCAAAACGCTATTTGGGGATTCTGTAACCAGAAAACACCCACACAGTGTGTGTGAGTATTCAAAATATTCAAAATAATCAAATATCTAAATTAATACATAATCGATATTTGTGATCATTTTTTAATTAGAAATACTAAATAGACTAAAATGGGACTTTTCCAGAAGTCTATGGACAACATAAAAGATTACATTTTGAATAAATATTTAGTTTCTTCTGTTTTTTGTTCAAGAAGAAACATGTACATTGTTTTTTTTTGTCACACTATATGTTCATTGCATTGTTTTAGTGTCAGGTGTGTTACCCTTTGCTTGTTTTCAAAGACGGTTTCAGTGAGTTTGAATTTGAATGTAGTTTGATCAAGCTCAAACTATTTTTCCGGGTTCAAAAAGGCGAACCCGTCACTTAATTAGTCACTTAATTATCTCATTAACTTTAACTCTTTTAGGACTTGGGATTTGACTTGAGACTTGCTTGTGACTTGAAAGGAATGACTTGGTCCCACCTCTGGTGAAATCAGCTGGCTGAGTTCATGAGTGGAATAAACATATGGCAGGACTTTTACTTTCTGACCCCTGGACTTTCCACCTCTGGTCTCAAGCCATCCTAGGTTTATATGACTTTCTGCGTTCAGACGGATCCAATCTGAGTTATATAAAAAAAATATCCTGGCTCTTCTAAGCTTTATAATGGCAGTGTTATTTTTCAGTAGTCCAAAAGAAGTCAAATAAAGTGTATCTAGCCATCATAAAAAGTGTCCTACGTCATCCGCCGGAACGGCGTTCTATTGTGAACGCACGTATGACAGTTAGCGGAAGCTACATATTGCCATTTATAAAGTTTTAAATATGAATATTTTCTTACAAAAATTTTATTCACCCCCCGGAGCCGTGTGAGGCACTTTTTATGATGGATGTATGTGCTTTATTTGACTTCTTTTGGACTACTGAAAAATACCCATTCACTGCCATTATAAAGCTTGGAAGCGCCAGGACAATTTTGATATATCTCTGATTGTATTTGTCTGAAAGAAGAAAGTCATATACACCTATGGCTTGAGGGTGAGTAAATCATGGGGTAATTTGCTGCATATATGTGGTATAAATGTACAACTGGTAGATGTGCACAAAATTAAATATCAGATTTTACAAATAAAACAGAATACATTTCTAGCCAGTTTTGCACAATTAGTTTTAACCCTGCATGGTGCAAAAAAAGTTTTTGCACTCAGTTCTGGTGCAAAAATACAGTAAAGGAAAGAAAACATTGTTCATGTGCTAAACTTGCAGTTTTCTTCGACAGGCATGCATAAGGAGATCAAGCAAAAGGGAATGTCTTCAGCTTCATATAAGGAGGAATTCTTCAGTTGTATAATTATTAATGAGAAATATTGGCAACACTTCAGTTTAGAGACCAATTTTCACTATTAACTAGTTGCTTATTGGCATGCATATTACTAGCATATTGGCTGGTTATTAGTACTTATAAAGCACATATTAATGCCTTATTCAATAAACTCCTAATTCACTGCAATATGCATATGCATATTTTAGATCCCTTAATCCACCCCATACCTAAACTTAACAACTACCTTACTAACTATTAATAAGCAGTGAATTAGGAGTTTATTGAGAGAAAAGTCATAGTTAATAGTTAGCTAATAGTTAGTTAATAATGGGAATTGGTTCTTAAAATAAAGTGTGACCAAAATATGTATTTTCTCCTGAAGTGCTACTGTATCTTCAATTTCAATTTATTAATTTAGCAGAATATTTTATCCAAAGCAACTTATAAACAAGGAACGTCACAAGCAATTTGAGCTACAATATTAATAGCACACAATGCCGAGTTTAAAGAATAAACAAACAAACCAATAATAATAGTTAGTATAGTGTCTTTGTTTATGGTTGTGGTTACTGTAGTTACTGTAAGTGCTTGTGGAAGAGGTGTCTTCAGCTGTTTCTTGAAAGTTGTGATGGTGTCAGCAGATCAGATGGAGGTTGGTAGCTCATTCCACCAAAGAGGAACACAGGGTTCCCATGGGTCTTTAAAGTGAAAGTTACCCATACTAGGAACTAGTGCTCTGCATTTAACCCATCCTAAGTGCACACACACAGCAGTGAACACACACACCGGAGCAGTTGGGGGTTCGGTGCCTTGCTCAAGGGCACCTCAGTCGTGGTATTGAAGGTGGAAGAGACATTCTGTACATTCACTCCCCATTCACTCCTCCCACCTACAATCCCTGCCGGACCTGAGACTCGAACCCACAACCTTTGGGTTATGAGTCTGACTCTCTAACCATTAGACCATGACTTCCCCAACGTCAAATGTTAAAAATGCCATAAGGCATCTAAAATTCTTGAATAGCTCAAATATTCTAGAAAGAAGTCTTAAATATTATTTTCAGAAGACTATTATTGTAGATTAATGCATATTCACACTGCTGAGTTTAAAGGCAGTCACATAGACTTTTCTCCACTGACTTACATTCACACGCATGTGAATGCAGAAAAACAAAAACAGTTTCACATTCACATTAACAACGCCCCTTAGCTGTTAGAAATTCACTGTAAACCATGGCTTCTTGGAGCTTATTGCTTTATTACATGTTTTGGAAAATCGCACAGCAGACAAAAATGAGAATATATTTGACTTTCACCAGACTTATGTCACACACACACACACACACACAAACGCACGTGTGTGTGTGTGTGCGCGTGCGTTTGTTAGTTATGGTTAGTTGACGTATTTGCAGTCAGTATAGTCTTGTAGTCAGTAGAATGTCCATCAAAATAAAGTGTTAAGCAGACAGTCTAATACATTAATGACTGGCATTATGCGAGGCCCCAGTGTGAGTCAGACACTGTAGCTACAATGCTATTATTTGCCCTCCCAGCCATGTAAAGAATGAGGTTTGTCTAGATAGTGCCTTTAAGACTGGTTAAAATTGCAGCTCTGCAATAATGAAGCTTTTGCGTTTGTGTGTTTAGAGGCTTGTTGGTGTTCAGACGCTTTAAAATTGTTTGCCGTTTCTTTATTTTTACTGCCATCCGAAATGCTCCGTCTTCTTTAAAACAGGAAGGACAGTTGTTTTTAAGTCTGACATTTTTTACAATAGAAGGAGATTTTACTTATGAATAAAAAGTCTTTGAATGATATTGTTGAGTGATTCTGTACTGTTTGCATCACGCAATATCGGTAGACATTAAGGAGGACACGTTCCCAATATCTGATATTATTGATGCTGCGTCGCTCTGTATCTTGTTAGGATGACAAAACATGCAAAATATTATATTTTTAGGCCAGTCTGCCTTAGTGAACTAATGGTGTAAATTACTGCACAATGCATCAGTTTTAACAGTGAAAAAAATTCAAGGTAGGCTACCTTAACAATTTAATATACTCCGTCACGGTGAGTGTTGAGAGATGAAGCGAGGACTCAAGTGCAGAATGAATGGTTCCTTCTTTTAATAATAAAATGAAACAAACAACTAAAACAACCCCGAGGGGGAAAAACAGACAGGCAGGCTAGGAACTGCACTACATGCAGAAATAACACAATG